AAATTAAAAATCAGGAGGATGCTTCCCTCTGGAGGACGGATGGCAACTGGAAGAGATGAGAGGCACTCAGAAGCTTCTAGTAGTCTGCTTCTTGATCAGGAGTGCCTGGTTTGTTAAAACACAGTAAGATGTACATTTCTGATATGTGTATTTTATACAAGTATATTTCAACTTTCAAAAGTAAAAAAATAAAAAAAAAGAGCTAAAATGAAAGTGTGTCCCCATAAAGCATTTAGCCTGGTGTCTACACATACAGTAAAGCTACAGGGCCAGGCAGCAAGAGGGCCAGGCAAGCTGGCACCTAACGGAGATGAGCAGCAGGGAACACAGGGAGAGGAAGGTGGGGAGAAGAATGTGATCCTCCTACCCTCTGGAGTACCCCACCCTTCCTTTACTGCAATCTTTGCTCAGCTCTGTTGGGAGCACCCAGGCGCTCAGCCTGGAATGTGAGCCCAGGGGAACACCCCATCCCCAGCTACCCTGAAGCAAATGAAAAAATATAGACACAGGAAATGTGCTTGTGATGCTGTCACTGGGATATGCAAATAAAATATATAGGATAGGCCTATCTGCCTAATATTCCTGCCAATTCATTCTCTGGGTGTGATTAAAATGAGCAATAAATTCCTCGTGAGTCTCAGTGGAGAGGAGATGTGGGCTGGTACATGAGCGTCCCCCTCAGCTGAATATTCATCATGGGATAGCTCCCCATATTTTTGTTTTATCTGCTTTCATGTACACAGAGATATATTTCTACTTCTCTTTCATCTCTTAGTTAGGACACAAAAATGGTCTAGGCGTTAAGTATTAAACTCTCCATGTATTGAACTGAAATCGTTCAAAGTAAGACCCAGGCTCTGTCTTCTACAAAGTCTGTCCTGCCGGTCTTTTAGATAATGGGTAAGCCATGTTTTTCTGTAGCACCCCCCTCCATCCCAAATGTGTGTGGAGTCATCCTAAAGCACCAACCAATCTGCAGGTATCAGAACTCCTCTAGTCCATGGCAAGCTCAGGACAGTGGCTGGGCTTTTCCCAATGTGTGGATTTTCTGAAGAGGGGAGGGTACGGGGGAGAAGCAGGCTTAGGTTCAGGGAATGCTAAGAGAACCAGGAAACCCAGTGAGGGCAAAATTGTTCAGGCTACTTTAGGTGATTGAGATTCTTAGGGTAAGTGATATATTTTAAGAGGTAGAATGAGCTGGGCGCTGGTGGCTCATGCCTGCAATCCTAACTACTTGGGGGCAGAGATTAGGAGAATCACGGTTTGAAGCTGGCCCCTCCAGAAAATAGTTCTCAAGACCCTATCTCAAAAATACCCAACCCAAAATAGGGCTGATGGAGTGGCTCAAGCAGTACAGTGGTTGCCTGAGGCCCTGAGTTCAAACCATAGTGCTGCCCCAAAACCCAAACCTAAACCCAAACCAAAAATGAACAAACAAAAAGAGGCAGAATGAAATAAAAATTAGGCTTATAGATAATTTTAAAGTGGGAAAATCATCAATAATATTAAGTAAAAAAAAAAGCAGATCCAAATACAGAACAGGATCACAACTTGAACACCTTAGGACCAAGTAGGAAACATAAATACCTGGCAAGTAAGGACATAACACAGTAGGGAATGTGGCTGGAGAGTCTACATCTCCAAACTCCTGTCACTGTCCTGAGCTTGCCATCTGCTGGGGCAGACTGGTGCCTTAGGGGGGCTCACATAGAGGTGGCGAGGCTCTGGCAGAATGAGTGGGGCAAGCTTTGTGGAGGAGGTTGCCTGGGTCTCACTTCAACTGATTCCAACAGATAGAGAGTTTAATACTTAAAGTCCCAGGGCTTCTGATTCACATTTGTAGAAAACTCTAGGTTGGCAAAATAAGACCTAGCTGCCCATTTGAGTCCTCTGGTATGTACAGCAGGCTATCAGTAGGTTTAAACAAAAAGATACAAAGATAGGAGGAGATGGTCCAGAAAGAGATGTCCATGAGAGGACATCTCTGCTTAAAAATTCTAATAGGTATTCATATAATAACTTGTTCTGTGACTCACCTGCTTGCTTTCTTGTCACTTCAGTTTTCCTATCTGTGAGCAAGGGGTAGTAAGAGCTACTTTATGGATTTGTTATAGGATTAAGTATGTATTAGAGCACCAGGTACAGTGCCTAGATGCACTCAATAAGTGGCAGTTACTATTATTATAAATAAAAATATTAATAGTGGTTATGTCTATGTACTGAGGCTAGAATGCTTTTACTTGAGAGTGGGCTCAGTTGACATCTCTTCCAGGAAGCCTTCCTTTATCAGTGACCACTGTGATGTCCTGATTCACTTGTCTGTCTCCCCATCAGGCTGTGAGTTCCTGGAGTATTTTACTCTTTTGTTCTCCTCCCATCTAGCCCAGAGCCTGGCATATAGATGTCATTCACAAATACTTACTGTATTATTTAATTCTCTTCATCTTACTTTTCTCTACTTCCAAATCTTCTATAATGGGACATATGACGTTAATACTCAAGGAGCATAATTTGACTAAGAGAATGGCAGGTCCAAGTGGAGGAGGCTAAGTTGGGCATATGGGGGTGCTGGAGGGCCATAAGTGGAGCCAGATAAGATCAGAGTGGCAGTAACCCATGTCTAGATACAGCTGGAAGAGGCCTCAGGCTGGAGACTCTGTGCCCTCCAACCCTGAGTCACTGGAGACTCTGTGCCCTCCAACCCTGAGTCACTGCTGAAAATGCACAGCTTGAACTCTTAGAGGAGCAGCTGTTTCTTACTAAGTGGCAGAGGGAGACAGAACCCAGGTCTTAGGCTTGGGGTGTGGCTCAAGTGGTGGAGTGCAAGTGCAAGGCCCTGAGTTCAAACCCCAGTACCACCAAAATAACAAGAACAAATAAAAAAGTCTGCCTTGAAAGAAACTAAAGCAGATACTTTTTTTCTTTTCTTTTTTTTTCATTTTTCTTTTATTATTCATATGTGCATACAAGGCTTGGTTCATTTCTCCCCCCTGCCCCCACCCCCTCCCTTACCACCCACTCCGCCCCCTCCCCCTCCCCCCCAATACCCAGCAGAAACTATTTTGCCCTTATTTCTAATTTTGTTGTAGAGAGAGTATAAGCAATAATAGGAAGGAACATGGGTTTTTGCTGGTTGAGATAAGCATAGCTATACAGGGCATTGACTCGCATTGATTTCCTGTGCGTGGGTGTTACCTTCTAGGTTAATTCTTTTTGATCTAACCTTTTCTCTAGTACCTGTTCCCCTTTTCCTATTGGCAAGCAACCAGAAACATTATAGGGGTGGCTGCTCTGCTACTTGGGATTCCTGAGTGCCTATAATAAGCAGAACTGGCCCTCTGACCCTGACAACAATGGACATGCAGCACCAGGCAAAAAAAAAAAATTTGCTGTTGCAAATCACTGAAATTTTGGGTTGTTACAGCAGCATAATCTATCTTACCTTGACAGTACACAATCAGACATTGAACTTAACCTTAGCAACCATTTAGTTCAATGTTCTTATTTCACAGAGGAAAACTGAGCTTTGATGAGGATAGTGTTAGCCCAAAATCATACATGCAGTGAGTGGTGAAGCTGGGATCAGAACCCAGTCTTTTCTGTCTCAGTCCAGTGAGCTGTGTTTTGACTTCGGACAGAGAGAATATTTGCCACTAGGTGGGACCTGCCACAATGAATCATCTCAAGGCATTTCAGCCAATTTGTGGACAAGAAACTCTATGATACTGGAAAGAACATGAGACCTGAGGGTCAGAAGCCAGGTCTTCCAAGCTCAGTCTTGCCATTGTACCTACTACATGATCTTGTGGTCAAATCCACTAAATTTTTTTTTTTTTTGATGCTATCTCACTCTGGGATCAAAGGCAAGCCACACCACATGCCTGGCTCCAGTCTCCCCAGGAGTAAAACAAGCCAGCTGATTTGGGTTTCAGAGATTTAAAATTCTTGCCCACTGCAGGCCTCCACAGGGACTGCCCCAGGAGGGAAGGAAGCAACATGTGGGCAGCACTCTGGGCCATCTTTCCTTCAATCAGGATAGCTCGATTTCTCTCTGATTTATACGTTTATGCTTTTTGTAAGATTTCCCATCAATGGACCTAATAACTTCTCAGGTCTTTGACAGGACTAAATTTTGTGATTCTAGATCTTGATTCTGCCCAGTTGTTACTGAGTTATAGCATTGTGCCTGGGAGAAGCAGGAGACTTAAGTCTTATTTTCAGGGAGTTCAAAAGTTTAGTTGAGAAGAAGATCAAATTAAGATGGAGATATTTTTGGCTCAGATTCCGTACCAGGCATGTATTGTGCAGAGGGGGGGGTGAAGGATCAGTTCTGAAAGGATGCGTAATGAAGTTGCAGGGTACATGAGGCCTGGGGAATACTTGAGCTTAAGATTTCTTCTGGGTTAGTCCTCTCCTCTGAAAAGAAGACAGGAGGCCATCACCTCACAACTGAATTTGAAGGTTAATTCTCAGAAGCCACAAGCGGCCTGGGTCTCCCTCTCCCTAATCAGGACAGGGGCAACTCCCTCTTCCTGATGAGACTGGGGGCTGGATGTGTATTTAAATAGACAATAATTACCTAAGGAGCCCAGCATGGTGGTGATACCTATAATCCCAGCATCAGGGAAGTGGAGGCAGGATGATTTCAATTTTGAGGCCAGCTTGGGCTACACAGTGAGACCCTTAATCAATCAAGTTAGAATGTAAATATTTTGTTAGGCATGGTGGTGTGTGCCTGTGATCTGAGACTGGCCCCAGGCAAAAAACAAGACCCTATCTGAAAAGTAACCTAAAAAAAGCAAAAAGGGCTTGAAGCGTGGCTCAAGTGGGAGAATATATGGTTAGCTAGTGTGAGGCCCTCAGTCCAAACCCCAGTACAGCCAAAAAAAAAATCACCTAAGGAGAAATAGCCTTTCGTGTAGAGCCAGACCTAACTTAAAGAGAAAAAGATTAAATGATCCATGGAGTGGGCACAGATTCCTCCTCTCCCTGAGACTTACCTTGGACTCAGAAGTCCTCAGAAGCTTCATCACCTCCCCTTCTCGGGCATAATCCAAGGGTGTGTGTCCCATTTCATTCCTCTGCAGGGGGTTGGCTCCTGGCAGAAGGAAAAGAATAAATGCCCCATGAGTGATTAGTGGGACCTCAACCTTTGCTTACAGGTGGATGGGGTCCTGATTTCAGTGTAAGAAGCATCCATGGAAACATACAAGATGGCAGAATGGCAGGAAAAACATGTCAAGCTACTCTGGGAGATGGACTCTTAGTCCTCTCTGACAAGGTGAGGATATTGCATTGCATGCACACATGTGCAGTAACACTCCCCACGTACAGGGGTGCTACACACTTGCAGATACGTTGTACATACACAAATACACACAACTGGACATGCCAACAAAGCATGCCAAACAAATAATGTGTTAAACACACAAATTCATATATACATTTACTAAAATGTCTACATCTTCCAACACATCTGCATACAGATGCACATTCATTCACAAAGTGATATAAAGAGCCTTTCTAAAGCAGAGAATAAGAAAGGTTGTAGGAGGGTGAATGTGGTAGAAATATTATGTATTCATGTATGATAATGGAAAAATAAGACCTGTTGAAACTATTCCAGGAATGGGAGAATGGGGGACAAAGGAGAATGATGGAGGGGGTGAATTCAACTATGATATATTGTAAGAACTTTTGTAAATGTCACAATGTACTCCTTGTACAATAATATGATGAAAAAAAAAAGCAGAGAATACCTCAAATGACAAAGTCTCTTCCTTTCTGCCCTCTGTTTCTCTCTCTCCTTTCATGTTCTCCTACCTCTGGGAATTTCCTGCCAGTTAGTATTGACTGAGTTGTCTAGAAGGAGGTGGGCATCACAATGACCTGGTTTTGCCTAGCTATTGGTGAGTATGTATATGTGACCAGGCACATTCTCCATCCATTAGTTCCTATGATTGGAGGACAAAGAACTTTGAATATGAGGAAAAGAAGAGGTTAAAAAAACTCCTAGATCTGATAAACACTTTTAGCAAAGTAGCAGGATACAGAATCAACATACAGAAATCAGTAGCTTTTCTATATACCAACAACGAGCAGGATGAGAACGGAATTAGGAAGACAATCCCATTTACAATGGCCTCAAAAAAAAAAAAAAAAAAGGAACCTAGGAATAAACTTAACAAAAGATGTGAAAGATCTCTACAATGAAAACTATAAACTATTGAAGAAAGAAACAGAAGAAGTCACCAGAAGATGGAAAGACCTCCCTCGTTCATGGATTGGCAGAATTCATATTGTGAAAATGGCTACATTACCAAAGCCAATCTACAAATTCAATGCAATCCACATCAAAATTTCAAATAATTTTTCACAAAAATCAACACTAAAATGCATATGGACACATAAAAGACTCTGAATAGCAACAGTACTCCTGAACAAAAACAGCAATGCTGGAGGTATCACAATACCTTACTTCAAATTATACTATAGAGACATAGTAATAAAAACAGCGTGGTACTGGCACCAAAAGAGACATGTAGACCAATGGAATAGAAGACCTAGAAATAAACCCAAACAGCTACAGCCATCTGATTTTTGACAAAGGAGCCAAAAACATACATTGGAGAAAGGACAGTTTCTTCAACAAATAGTGTTAGGAAAACTGGATATCCACATGTAGCAGACTGAAACTAGACTTCTGTCTTTTACCCTGTACAAAAATAAATTCAAAATGTTCAAAGATCTTAATGTTAGACCTGAAACTTTTAAACACTACAGGAAAAAGGTGAATACTAGAGGATATAGGCATGGGCAACTATTTTCTGAATGGGACTTCCATTGCCCAGGAAAGAAGCAGAATTGACAAATGGGACTGCATCAAGTTAAAAACCTTCCACACATCAAAGGAAACAATTATCAGAATGAAGACAACCCACAGAATGGAAGACAATCTCTGAGAGCTATTCATCAGATAAAGGATTAATATCCCAAATATACAAAGAGTTCAAAAAAATTGAACACCAAAAGAATGAACAATCTAATAAATGGGCAAAATGAATTGAACAGGCAGTTCTCAGAAGCACAAGTGGCCAGTACACACATGAAGAAACGTTCAACATCCTTAGTCATAAAGGAAATGCAAATCAAAACTATAACAAGACTCTATCTCATCTCAGTCAGAATGGCTACTGTCAAAAAAACAAACAATAACAAAAGCTGGCAAGGATGGGGGTGGGGAACACACACCCTTATATAAGTTAGTACACCCACTATGGAAATCAGTATGGAGGCCCATTAAAAGACTAAAAATAGAAACAGACTTATGTTATGATCCTGCTATACCACTCTTGGGCATATATCTAAAGGAGTGTAAGTCATCATACAAGAGAGATACCGTTTATCACAGCACTAGTCAAGCTATGAAATCAGCCTAGGTGGCCAACAACTGATGAATGAATAAAGAAAATATGGTAATACATAATGGAGTACTATTCAGACATAAGGAAGAATAATATTATGTCATCTGAGATGAGGTCTCCCTCTGTTGCCCAGGTTGGCCTTGAACTTCTGGCTGAAGTGATCCTCAGCTGCCCAAGTACTGGGTTGAACTACAGGCTCATGTCACCATGCCCATCTCTGGATGTATGTTTTCATATCTATTGAGTAGATACCTAGGAATGATGATAACAATAGCACCGGTACTTACTAAGCACTTACCATGTGTCAAGCAGTGTGCTCTGCACTTAATATCCATTTCATCATTTAATCCTCACAACCCTGAGGGATAGGAATTAAAACCCCAAAGCTATAGACATGAAAACTGGGCTCAGAGAAGTGAAATGACTAGCTCAAGGCTATAAAACTAACTTTATCAGTTCGAAGCAGGAGTCCAACATAATCCCAGATTTCCTAACTCTATACTTTCATTAGGATAGCCATGACATCGCTGCTGAAAAATCCTTCAGCAGTCTTTCACTGCCTTCAGGACAAAGTGCAGCCTACTTACTAAGGAGGTATTTACTAAGCACTTACTCCGAGAGGTTAGCCTCTTCCTCTGCATCCCAGACAGACAGCCATGTGTAAATGCTTAATAAATGTTTACCATCAATGACAAGTTTACAGGGTCTTTTTAAGAATTATGAGGCTCAGTTGGGGCCTCATTCTTTCTTTCAGTATAAAACCACTTTTCTTTTCCACCTCCTGTGACTAGTCCTCCCATCTCTTTTGCAGGCTCCTCTTTCTGTCTTTAGGATTAGGTTTCCTTGAGCTTGAGCCTACCACAACTCCAGCTCTCTAGGAGATAATGGGGACAAAAAATAAGAACACAACAATGATACAGGCTAAGGGTGACAGTGTGCTGAAGGAGGGAGAGACAGCCAGCACTGTGGGGGCTCAGGAAGGAAGAGAGTGCTCAGGGGCTTGTTCACCTGGAGACATTTTCCTAGTCCAGCCATGCTCTCAGAGCTGGGCACTGAGGGGGCTCTGCAAGGGTGGAAGGGCCAGTGCCAGGCAGCATCTTCCTTTCCCAAAAAGTTCTTGCAGCAAGCTGGGGCAGAGTGAGCCACAACTAAGTGGTGGAAAGGCCTCTCCTTTTTCTGGCAGCCTCCAGGGGAGCTCCACTACTAGATAATGTGCTATGTGGGAGATTAGGTAGAGACCTTTGGAAGGTAAAAAAAAAAAAAAAACAGCAGAGAGAAGAGAGGAGAAATGTGCAGGAGGAGAGAAATAAATGGAGGAGGGGAGAAGAGAACGTGAGCGAGCAAGACAGGAAGAACAGAGAGTGAGATTAGCTGCTTCAAACAAGTGCTGTCAGTGATCTATATTTGCTTACAGAATGAAAAATGTGTGCCATAAACATTGGCCACTGAGTAATTTCTAGCAGGAGTTGTGTCACTTCTCATAAAGGATGGGATGGGGACAGGTAGGACATCTCTGCACCTGGGCCAGCCAGCATAGGGGCTTCCTTTTACAGCAGTGCTGGGTCTGGCTCCAGCCCAGGAGGCTCTCAGGTCAGGTCACTTGCCAGGGGAAGCCAGCCAGGCTCCCCAAGGTTCTGCAGCCTCAGGGCAGCAGCCCACCCCTCCTTTAGGAAGGCTGAGGTGGGGGCACCATGGATAATATGTCCATCCAATATTACTCTGAGTCCCACACCCTTGCTCTGACTTGACTAATTGCTGTAATAATTGATAGAACCTGACTTCTACCACTGATCGATTTCACCTCCACGACCAATGGCCACAAACCATTACACTCCAATAAATAACCACGTTGGGCCTCACCCAGCTGCCCTCTCCGGGGGCATCAGGATGGCCCATGCCCCGGCCTGACCTCCCCTTGCCTCCCACTCAGGGCCCCTCCAGGCCAAGCAGCTGGCCTAGAGCACCAGGCCTCTGGGACGAGTGAGAGGACTGGACAGGGGTAGGGAGTGCTAATCGCAGGCCATCCGTCACCTCCCACTGGCTGTCTGGGCTGGGGCAAACACCTGGAGCACCCCAGGCAGTACACTGCAGGACCCTTCCCTCCTCTCCTGCTCCAGATTAGTTGTTCCAGCTTATAATATTTGATAAATAGCAGCCTGGCTTCCTGGCAGCACTGCTGCGGCTGTGTCTGCCCGCTACAGCTGTGGAAGGTCACTCATTGGGGAAATATGTTTCTGTCAGTGGTATTGAAAAAAGTTTAGTGGAGTGACAGGCCTCAATTTTTCAAATTTTATTAACTCCATCCTCTTAACCATTTGTCTTGAATTCCTTCAGATTCTGGGGGCTCTGTCAATAGGGATCGGCAGGAAAGTAGGGCAGGGGGTAGGTGGTCATGGGGCTGGTGCTGGTTGGTGCCATTGTGGCTGACTGAGGTTTCTTCACCCAGGATAGGAAGTGGAAAAGGTTTCGGTGGGAGAGGCCTGGTCCAATGTTGCCTAAAGAGCCCACTGCTCTTCTCTGGCACAGTGCCTGCCTTTGAGTTGACACAATTACAGATGCTCCAAGTGAAAGGACCTTAATGGTCAGTTCTTCCAGTTCCATAAGAAGACACTCTCCTCTACTGCATCTGAACAGGTAGTCACCCTGGGTACCTGGAATGTCCCCAGTATCCACC